AACTGAGCTTCCTGACGTTGCTCATAAAAATGGATGCTAATCTGATAAATAGTAGGCTGCTTTTCACRTRTGCCATTTGGATACTTGATGTTGGTTGCAGACTTGGATGATTTTCTGGGACTGATTGATTATTGACCATGTGTGACTAGCTAATTTATCTGCAGTCTTCCTAGGAATAGTTCTTTGGCCGCCACTGTAGAGCTCTAGAGTCTGTTTGTTTAGGTCTTTTAGGATAATCACCAGGGGATCAGGCATGTAGACATGTAGTGTGAGCATCCGTCCAGATGTGCACTTTTACTCCAAGGCTAAATGAATATTGTAATTTATGTTCCTATTTCATCTTATACACACACACATTTGTTTCCATTTCATCTTAGAACTGGTGATTTGAGCAGCCTTGGTTTATTTCTGTTTCCATTTCATTTCTGTTTCCATTTCTTCCTTTCTTTCTTTGATACTGTTAGATTCTCCTRTTTTGAGAAATTGAAGAATGAATATTGTAATTTCTGYTCCCATTTCATCTTATACACACAAACACACATGCACACACACATATGTTTCCATTTCATCTTAGAACAGGTGATTTGAGCAGCCTTGATTTATTTATGTTCCCATTTCATTTATGTTTCCATTTCTTCATTTCTTTCTTTGATACTGTTTGATTCTCCTATTTTGAGAAATTGAATCAATATTGTAATTATTTGGTAAAAGGGTCTGCAAGTTGAGATTTAGTGTACATTTTCTCACACTTTCTTGATAGAGAAATATAGCTTAAATGTAATTCTTTCTTTCTTTTTTGCTTTGTTATATATGGCTGGTGGTATTAGAAGTTTTTTTTTGTTAGCTTTTGATGTATGAAATGGAAATAATAAATTAAAGACGATCAATGTATTTAAGCAGGTCCATTATGTGAGTTGTCTGCAGTAACATGACTCACATCTCTATGAGCTTAAGGTCTTAGTTGGGTTGGTAACATAATATAAACAACTGCCATAATATGCAGTAATCATTAAAAAGGAACATCAACATCAATATATAACTATCTTGGTTACTTCGCATGTATTGACAKTTTTGGACAGTAGGACATGAACATAACTAAAATTCTTGAAGAAAAACAGTTGCCATAATTCTGCAGTAACAGGTACCAAATTGAGTGTAAGTATTCATTGAAAAGGAACAACAACATCAATGTATAACTATCTTGGTYACTTCGCATGTTTGACTGTTTTGGACYGTAGGACAAGAACGTAACTAAATATCAAAAACATAAAAGTTGAAACCTTTAGCATACAAATGGTATGTTTTGAAAATGTGTACATTGTGCATAATGATCTGTAACAGATGTCAACCCCCAAACTCTAAAGAGCCTCCTCCCACTTCTTGGCAGTTTCACATTAAATTTGGCCATAAACAATTATATATCTAAAAAGGGTCAGTTGTTATTGCTAAGCGTGTGATAAGTCTGTCTATCCCTGTGTGTGTTTAGATGGAGATCTGAAGGCCAAAAATTAAATCCATGGAAAAAAACTAATACATTGATGGTTCAATGGGGTCTCTAAATTTAGAAATGACTTATGGTTCTTCTTGTCCTGCTGAACCTTTATGGGATAGACAAGTATTTTACATTAGAGACCAAACTATCAGTCAATGGTGATGGCCTTTATATACTTAACCAAACAGAAGCTAAACTGAAACAAACCAAAATATCCCTTTTTTTTGCCATTAATGGTGATGGCCTTACGGTCAGCTTCTGTGTTATTCTTTCCCCTTATCATCAACTTTCCTCCACTTTACTACACCTTTGTCCCTTTCACTATGTTTCATAGGTAATTTTTTGACTATGTTTCATAGGTTAATGTATCTAAGCTTATCATAGATTGTGTTGCTGGAATGTTGGATAACATTATCAATATGACTTTCTGTTATGTGAATTTGATTAGTAGTTACTAATCATTCTTTTATGTCTAAAATAACCCATTTTAGAAGGTTGAGTTACTGATTATGACTTTAGAAGCATCTTTTTGCAAAATGATTTTT